CATTTGAGATGTAAAAGAGAAAATTCCAGACCAGATAAGTCGAACTGAAAACAAAACCGTCAAAGAGTCAAACTTTAAAGTTTTAAAGTGAGGTGAAATCCTGCCCGAACTTGTCAAAGAGTGAAAAACAGGCAGAGACTTTCCATCTGATATGACGGGAGAAAAAAAAACGCTGTGGGAAGATTTTACCTTCTAGCAATTGGTGCCCACGTGTCCTGAAAAAAGCTGTGAGAAACCAGATAATCTTTCCCAGAAGCTCCGGTTCTCCTCGCCAGATCCCCGGCCCACTGTCGCTTTTTTAAAAATCTCCATCACAGATGCTAAAAGTGTTCCACGGGGGGCTTTTAACAGAAAAAAAACTCCTCAGAGTCCGCGGACGGGGATCTCTGGGAATTGGTGATAGATTGCACACAGGCATGAGAGTGACTTCTACTATGTAAGGCAAAGCAAATGAAGTCGTGTGGAATGTTGCATCCTGAGGGAGAAACTTTTCTTTAAGGGGAGGGGGGGGGGGGGTTAACCCTCTGCCCCGAGCTCTGCGTGCTTTGAACGTTTTTCTCCACTCCGGAGGCGAGTCCAGACAGATCTGAATATTCGCGAGGACACGACCTGTTTCCATGTCTGATCTGGGACTTTTAGGCTCTCTTCTCTCTATGCAGGCCGCTAATCAGAATCAGAATCAGAATCAGAATAAGGTTTATTGCCAAGTAGGTTTTTAGATAGACTTACAAGGAATTTGCCTTGGTGTTTGGTGCACAACACAACACTTCTATGAGAAGCAAGAAATACAATGTAGAAATAAAAATATAGGATAGAAATGATCAAACTGAAATATACAATCTTTAAAAATATATATTTCCCAATGTACAAATGAACAATCTTTAAAAATATAGATCCGAATGTGAACATTTTATCATACAAGGCTTAGATTTTTGCTTTTGCCCGGTCATACGTGCTTTTCTTTGAGCTGCTGGCTCAAATATACTGTGTATACTGTGTAAAACTGAAAAATACAATTTTTAAAAATATAGATCTGAATGTACAAATGAACAATCTTTAAAAATATAGATCCGAATGTGCAAATGAACAATTGAAATGTGCAATGTTGATCTGCAACGACAGACCAGAAAATGCATAAATTAGTCAGGTAGAGGGGGGTGGGAGAAGAATAAGTGGGGGCCACTGGCCTTGTTGATGAGGCCAGTTGCTGCTGGATAAAAACTGTCTTTATGGCGTAAAAATTTTGGTCCTGATGGTCCTCAACCTTCTGCCAGAGGGGAGAGTTTCAAAGAGTTTGTGACCGGGGTGAGAAGGATCAGAAAAGTTTGAAACCGATTCAACCATCATCAAAATGAAGCAAACACAGGGCTACTTGACACTAGATCTGAATTTTGCCCATTTTATTTACCGATTTTGTTGAAATAAACCAAACAAAACTCAAAAACCTGGTTCCTAGAGACCTCATTCCCCCACTTCAGCACACATAACTTGAATTAACAGCTCATTTACAGGTTTTTGCAGGTTTTTGAGGTGCCTGGGGGCTAGAAACTCCAAAACGATGGCTAAGTTTACAGGTCTATCCACATTTAAGTTAAATCACGTGTACAATATAAGTCTCAGACATTGAAAGCACCTCCTGTGAGCGCTTTTTACTCTACTTGACTCATGCCTCTTGCAGGTTTGTGGTGTTTTCTTTTTCTGCTCTTGTGTTGCTGTAACATGTGTATTTCCCCATTGTGGGATCAATGAAGTAGTCTGATCTAATCTATTCTAATTAAAGCTTAAAGTTTGCCACCAAGTGTAAAAAAAAAAAAGGCTGAGGAGTCCAACTGATGATCAAGATAGACATAGACATAGACATAGACTTCCTTTATTGTCATTGTCAAAAACACAAGGTGAATTAGACAACGAAATGTCAATTTCTTGGCTACCAGAGTAAAATTTTTTGCAACGAAATATCAATAAATATGTGTGTGTGTGTGTGTGTATGGGGGGGGGGGTTACGTGGCGTTAAGTAGTCTGAAACCTTTATCCTGAATTGCTTGTTGAAGTTGAGCTAATGTGCAGATGTTACAGATGTTAAATCACTATAAGTGGAGACATGCTGGAAGACATATTTAGTTTTGAACATTTTATTTCAGAGTCAGTGAAATTGCATTTTTAATCTAAATTCTATCTTAGTGTTTGTTTATTTTTGTCTTTTTTAGAGACATAAGATTGCAGCGATCTCAGATCCTAATGCTAAATCCTGGATTTGGACCATTCGGATCCATTTTGTGCACGGTGACATGCGAGTGGTGGTAAATTTGGCCATTTCCGTTAGTTTTGCAGAAGCTGATCGCATCTCTATGCGTGAGAGAGATGTATGAGGCAGAGATGGTGCTGATGGCCGACGTCTCAGTGCCCGATGAGGAAGAGATGAACACACTGCTGCGATCGTGCTGTTTTCCTGTCAAAAAGGCAGGAAATAAATGTTTTTTTGCAACCACATTGAATGTCCTCTGATTCTGAGGCTGCACAGAGAAGGAGAAACAATCATGATCGTCACTTTAATTGTAATTTAATCAACAAAATACACTATGCTGACTACACATGGATTTAAATGCAATTTAAATGCAATTAAATGCAATTTAATCAACAAAATACACTGAGCTGACGACACAACTGTCTTTCTTCTGTTTTTTCCTGCTTTGATATTTGTAAAAATCCTCTTTTTTTATTCTCTTCCTTCCACCTTTCGTCTAGTTCAATCTACAAAGATTTGATTGGGTACTTTAAAAAATGGAGGCTGCACCTGTTTGACTCTGCAAATGATTTGTGATGATCAAGGGATTTTTCCAAACCCTGAACTTCCCTCTTGAACTAGGCTTTCATTGCACTTGGAGTTACTCAGTAAACTTAACAAGGAGCGGTCTCGGTGTGATAAAAACGAAGGTTTGCCGAGCAAAAGCTGACGTCACCCAGGTGAGAACAGCTTTTATTCAATGACAGTTAAAACCCAACACTGTGGATCTGTTCTGTGAGCTCATAAAACGCTGAGCTCACATGATTTTATTATCGTTTCACTGCAATAAAACCAACAAATGCCACCCTTTTGTCTGGATATTTCCAGTTTGGGGCACCAGTTTACCAGTATATGTGATTATCAACCTAAATTAATGTGTTGTTTTGGTTTGTTTTAATCAAGAAAAGGAGACCACTGCAAAAAACAGGTTTCTATCCAAGACTTAAAGCTCTCTATGCAGTCTTGAGTTTGACAATTATTCATTAAGCAGGAGAAAGATATATGAGTTATTAAATCTAAACTTAGAATTTGTTATTTAGTTGCTCATTCAAGTTAAACTGTCTATATGTTTGAGTGCTCTTTTAAGTAAGAGAAAAGCTAAAGAAAAAGGTGGTTTTTCAGGCCATTTTTTTGTTATTTTCTGTCACAGTGAAATGTTTAACCACAAGAGATAGATTTTGACTTTAAGAAATTTTGGGAAAAACAAATTATTTCAATAATTCACTAGATTCTAGGAAGATTTTCTTAAATTAGGGCTGTTTTTGCAGATTTACTTCACTATATTTGCTGCTATGACTCTTAGTTGTGGTGACTCTGCACATTTTAAGCATATTTTATAATACAAGGCTTAGATTTTTGCTTTTCCAAAGTCATAGGTGCTTTTCTTTGAGTTGCTGGCTCAAATTGACCGAGTTAGGGTTTTGATTGGACGTTAAGAGGCTCTTCACCTTTGTCCTTACAGGATAGTCTGAAGCTCTATGAAAAGTCTAAACAGATATTTAACTCAGATTTTCTTTCCGAACAATGGAGTCCAGCAGGGAAACGGAGCGTCTCTCAGCAGGTCAGATGTTTTTTCTGGGCTGGACAGAAGAAATTGGAAGCAGTGGGAAGCTGACTTCCTCCCTCCTGATTCTGCTCTTGAAACCAGAGAAAAAAGCCAAAGGTTCAGCAGCCGTTTTTATCTGGTTTCTGTGGGAGATCCACACAGAGAAATCCAGGATCAGGCCGAGAGGGCGTTTCCAGAGTCGGCAGCCAAGAGCAAACTAGCACCGACATTTATCTTCTTCACCAGACAGACACTCCAACTTTCTCACCCCTGCTAAAAAATAGTATCACTGTGTCATATTCCTCAAGCTGAAAGACAAAGAAAAGCACAGCTTTAACACGGGAGACATCTTATTCAAACGAGTTAAGAGCAATAAAACTGTCTCTGATGCAAACGAATGGCTGAGCAACTACAATTTCTGTCAAACTTTTAAAAAATTCACAGTAAAGAAAGAAAAAAAGGCTAATCAGGCTTTAAAAGCTGGTATTTAAAAGCTGAATATTAATAAAAGCGGAAGCGGATCAGCACATTTAAACGCCGCTTCATTTTGAATTAATAAAAAAAAACATGTCAATACTCCCATTCCTTCGGGGGAAACAAGAAGAAGAAATAAAGAAGTTATTGTTAGTTTTCAGAAAATCCTCAACGACACAGAGGCTGAGGCTTGAACTTGGAAACTCGATACTTTGACCGTAATGAAACGAAAACACAAATTCCTCCCGGTCGGAGCAGGAGGAAGCGAAGCCGGGGTCAAAGGTCAAGAGCAAGCTGCAACAACAACCTCGTTTCTTAATGGCGCGCCAAACAACACAAGCCGAGCCTCCACACCTCTGGAGTTCCCACGCGCTCCGCCGCTGGAGACACCGGAACGCCGATAACCCGGAGTCACCGCTTTCCCAAGCTCCCGCCGGATTCCCGGCCGGATTCCTGACCGGATTCCTGACCGGATTCCCGACCGGATTCCCGACCGGATTCCCGGTCTACTTCCCGGCCTGAATCCCGGCCGGAATCCCAGTCCTGCTTCCCAGACGTATTCCATGCCGGATTACCATCCCTGCTTCCAGGCCTGCTTCCCAACCGGATTCCCGACCGGATACCTGGCCTGAATCCCGGTCCTGCTTCCCAGTCCTCCTTCCCGGTCCTCCTTCCCAGCCTGATTCCCAGTCTGCTTCACTGCTTCCCACCCTGCTTCCCGGCTCTGCTTCCCTGAATCCCTGTCTGATTCCAAGTCTGCTTCCCGACCTGCTTCCCGACTTGAATCCCAATCCTGCTTCCCGGCCCTCCTTCCCAATCTGCTTCCCGTCTGCTTCCCAGTCTGCTTCCCAGAGCAGCTGAGCCGGGAAGCATCAGGCCGTTATCCAGAGGCAGGAGCAGAATCGGGAACCTGGAGGGGCGGCGTCCTCCACATCTCCATCGCGTCGGGGGGATTCGTCATCCTAAATTCTTAGGATTAGATCTTGGGTCACGATGTTTTTATTGAGTATTAATGAGTCATAAAACAGGTTTTTCAGTTTTTTTCAGTGCTTTAAAAGCCCCTTTTGTTCTGTCTTCCGATGGGGTGCTCTCCTTTTTTCTGCCTCAATCCAGCTTCCCCTTCTCCTAATTATTATTATTATTATTATTATTATTATTATTATTATTATTATTATTATTATTATTATTATTATTATTATTATTATTATTATTATTAATCTATTTATTTATTTATTTATTTTATTTATTTATTATTTTTCTGCCTTGTCCTGTTCAGCATTATGGCAGCATAACTTAAATCTGAGTATCGTTTTATGTTTTTTTGCTTTGCCAAAGGAGGCTTTGTTAGTGAGAAGCCCCCCTCTATTACCCAAAACTGCTTTATTTATTCATTTTTGTTACCAAACTTACATGTGTCCAATAATGCCGAACCTGACAGAGGGAAGAAAGAAGAACAATGGAAAGGAAAGAGATCCTTTAGACAGAAAAAGAAATGGAAAAAACAAAAAACAAAGACAACAAGACCATACAACCAGCTGCTATGTCTGTAAAACATAATTAAAAAAAGATTATTACAGAGCTTCCACAGAGAGGGGTTTTCTTTCTTTTTTTCTCATCTTTCTGTGTGAAGACACTTTAAATTCACCTGCTTATGGACTCATCACCACCTGCTTAAACGTTAAGTCTGCTCTCTGTTAACAACTTGCAAACAAGCCTGTTTTTTTTTTGGGGGGGGGGGTGGCCTCTCGGGATGGGCCTCTTAGATTAGCTTTTGTGGAGCTACTTCTGAACACAGCATGTCAGCACAAGCAGCTCCCAGCAGCTGTCTGCACGGCGGGGGCGGTATGATGATCCGGGACCTTAAAATCCAACAGAAACTCCTCTGAATCCCGAAGTCATATTTTCACATGCTCACACCTTCCATCTTTAAAAGAGAACTCCAGGGCTGATCCAAAAAAGAGGGAAACAGTTCATTATTCAAACAAATTTGAGCCATCAAATCTGTTTTCATTGTGTTTTGGTGATGTTGAAGGTTTTGTGTGAAGACAGGAATTGAGCCCGATAACTCAGAGGAAATACACAACACTCGAACATCGTGGGGATTTCACAAGTGCAGCGATATAAATCAGAGATATTTCATTATCAAACTGATTGGCTGGCTCTGTGTGTTGTTTTGTCGGTGTTGTGCGATTATCTTAGTAGCTTGTGCTTCATTATCTGATTTTATCAAGCTATACTCTGCATGCACATGAAATAATCTTCAGATAGAAACCACAAAATGTCCCTGCTTTGCTAAGCTCTTATTTAAAAACAGACATAAACAAGTTTTTTTCGAAGACAGGTTAAAGGGCCCTTGTCTATTTGGCTTACACACACACAATTGACCTTAAAATGTCTCTTTTTTCTAAAAAAAACCCCTACTATCTCCTTAGTGGAACCCAAATCTGCTGATCATTCAGTTTTCAACAGTTTGCACAACTTCTGATTCAAAGCTCATGAATTTTTTTGGTGCTTTTGCAAAACTTTTGTTTTGAAATTTGGCAAGACTCATGATTTGTCAGTGAATGTTGCATTAACTCTTTTCGGTTCAAGTAGAACCGGCATGCCAAAACGAATGCATGTAAGTCCAAAAAACTCAAATTTCAAATGACTCAAAACTTAGTCAACTGAATGGTGTTGGTGTCATCCAGCTAATGGAAACCCTGTGAGCTTAAAAAAGAAGCTCGACTTCATTGCTTAGAAGTTTCACTTCTCATTCAAAGACGTCCTCACTTTTCAACATCATAATCATCTGAATTATGTTTAAGTTCATAAGAGAAGTGTTTCAGCTAATGAGCAACAAAATAAAACTTTAGAAGGCCTAAATTGAAATTAAAAGCCCCAAATAAGAAAAAACAAACCTAACTATGTGAAAAGGCCACAAAATGAACAACAGAATTTACTCAGATTGGTTCCATTTGTTGAGATTTGCATTTTAAAAAAGCCTGAAAATTAATTGACTGGTGGTACATGGCGAGGACACAGATGCAAACACAAGACACAGGCAGTCTGGAGCATCTAAAAATAAAATAAATAAAAAAAGCAGCACAGAGAGAGCTGCAAAGCCAAAGAAACACAGAGAAGAACAGACACAAGAACGACACAGAACGCAAAAATTTGGAAGACAAAGAAGAAAAATCAAACAGGAAACAGAATGCAGGGAGAAACAACAACATGAAAAACATTGAACATGCCTTCCTTTTTTTTTGTTTTTTTACTTTTATATTATTTTCTTTCAGATTCAATCCATCCAGTCATGTGAAATCTGGAGCTCAGGAACTTTTGGTCGTCCTTAAGCTGTTTTACAGGCTGGAAACGGCTTCCCTTTGTCCCACTCTGCACCCCATGCCACGTTTTACATGTTTACTCTGGTAAACAATGCAGAATGACCCTTCCATCCACCTGGCATCGGGCCACCGGCCCTCAGGTCATCATCATACTGACCGGCCAGAGCCGAACAATCACCTTTATCTGCAGATTAACAGGAAGGAAAGGTGACGGAGGCTGCAAAACGCACAGGTAAGGTGATCCATATCTGCAGAGTCAGCATATCTGATCAGTGTTTTAACAAAATGTCCTGCAGAGAAAAGGTCTTCTATCAAATGTCACACTTCCTGTTTTGAATACTACTTGTACTACCTGTTAGAAAAAAACAAACGCCATCCAAACCAGATTTAATTTTCCATTATTCACGCTCTCAAATGTTTAAAAAGAAGCATCCTAAATATATTTGTTAGTTAAGGGGAAGTGAACCTCCTAAATTGGGTTAAAGCAACATTTTGTTCATCGTGAAGTAACTAAAACACAAAGGACTTGCACTATACGCTAAAACAGTCTATAGTTCAATATAGTTCAAATATAGTTCAATAAATGCAAAACGATGCAAAATACGATGGTAGTTTTGCATTTGTTCCTGTCTCCCAGCCAATGACGGCTGGAAAAGGCTATAAATATTTAATTAAGCGACTACAGAGAAAGGATGGATTAGTTTCAACCCCTTCAAAAAGTACCTGGAACTAGAATCTGAGTATTTAGTGTTAAACATCTCAATATCAAACTGCATCATCATGTTTGTAGTTTGTTTATACACATCAAGATGGCAGATTTAAGTGCCGTGTCAGCAGAATGGCACCAAGAAAACAAAAGTAAAGGAGATAAAAATGTACAAATTCTAAAAAATCTTTTCAGAGTTAGAGAGAAAAAACAACACAAGACAAGACACATGTATTTATTTCCAATAAGCAGGAACCTTTTTATCCTTCAAGCCTTGATTTTTTTGGAGAGACACAGTGCTTCCCATGACATCTTCTCAACGCACGTTTTTACAGGCTTTCCTGAGAAATAGACGAACGGATACCTCTGTGTAATCACAGAACCGGTACCACCAGTGCCTCTCACACACAAACCATTTATCTCCTTTCAATTTCCAGTCACGCCTTTCAACCCACGGGCCGCCAAAACAGGACACCTGAGTCCTGGTTCTGCTCCAGGTTTCTGCCTGTTAAAAGGAAGTTTTTCCTTGCCTGTGTCGCCTAGTGCTTGCTCATGGTGGGAATTGTTGGGTTTCTGTAATTAACTTCAGAGTAGGGTCTGACCTGCTCTGTTTGGAAAGTGCTGTGAGACAACTGTTGTTGTGATGTGGCGCTATATAAATAAAATTGAATTGAAAAAACTGAATCCTGAGTCCCGCCACAGGAAATTCACCTCTGATTGGGCCACTGACGTCCATTCGGAGGTAAAGAATTTAACAGGCGTTTTAATAGCTGACGGTGAATAACTCCAGGAAATCCTTGAACCTCTTCCTGTTTTTTTACAGTCAGAGCAGACCCGGACGGGTCGCGGCCTGTTTTCTCTGAGCGGCGCTTTAATGTCAGGGGGGCGGGGCTTACAAGGGCAATTATTCCACATTTAGAGAGACTTAACATACCAGAGCCTGTCAGTTTAAAACAAACTATTCAGGTGCAGATTTACGGGGTGGAAAGTGATCGAGAAGCCGTCCCCGTCACGCTGAGAACATTTACTCTGCTGTAGAGACATTATTCAGACACTAAAATCACCTTTAAGAGTGTTAAATATCCCTCCATCACCCACTTTGCTTAACGACATGGTGTTTTTTCTTAAACTTGAAAAAATCAAATTTACAATGTGACAATTTTTTCCAAAAACGGCCGTGTTTTCTTTCTTCTTTTTCAGATTTGGAGCTCCTATACTTAACTAAATATGTGTGCCTGTTGCTGCACTTTACTCATGTTTTTTTTAAATTTTTTTTTTTATTAGTATTATTATTATTTATCTTATTTTTCTGCTGAATGTGTTGGGCTGAGTCAGGGGTGTGTTGTTCTCTTCTTTTATTGTTCTTATTTTGTTTTATTTTTGTTTTTTGTATATGTAGTAGGTGTGACTACTTCAACATTTATATTTGTATTTATATATTAGAAGTTATACCTGCACAAGTATATGTTTATCCCAAAAAAAAGAAAAGTGAACTGTAGTCCTTATTGGTATTATATTACCATTTGTTTCAATAAAAATAAATTGGAAAAAAAAGCGTGTTAAAGCGTGAATTTGATACTTTTTTGGGTCAGAAATTCCTCTTTGATGATAATTACAACCGTCCAGCATTGATTTCCAAATCAGAAACTTATTTTAGAGCGATCTGATCACATCTTCGGCTGAAATGAAAGTGCTCTGGTACAGTCTGAGAGTCACAGATGTGGTTTCTGTTTCTGTTTCTAAACTTTATCCGAGGGCTGTTTCCATTGTGTCATTTCTCTCGTTTTTAGCCAGTAGAGTCAGAATGATGATTCAAGGAAACACACACCAATTATTCTTTTAAGCGCCATAATATCGAAACAACTGAGTCCTGACTTTGGGTCAAATGTGGGAAATTTTTGGATGATATTATTAGTTTTATCTACTTTATTTCAAGAGTAACTTGGTTACGAATTTCATTAAAATAAAACATAAATGTCTTGTCTATAGTATACAACGTGATTTTGAGTTTTCTTTGTAGTCCATCCATCTTATATCTGCTTATTCCTAGAAAGAGTATACATAAAAGATGAGTATTTGTCTGGAAAATCACATTCCATTACAATCTGATTAAATTATTGAATGAAATCTGTCATAAATCCTGTTTTTAAATGTGAAAGCGGGCCCTTAACGGTCAGATATGACAACAGGGGCTCGGCCCAGGAAACCCAGCTCTGGAGGGCCCAAATAAACCTCTTTAACCTGCGTCCCGATGAGTTCGATGCTGTTTTTGAGCGTTCAGACGCAGCCGGTAAATAACACCGTGGTGTAATTCTGTGGAAACATTTGCAAACGTCCTCGGACCTCCCACTCAGAGGGAGAACGTACAGAACAGCCTGTTTCTGAACAGGTTCTCCCTGCCGATGTCGTAACTCTGCCTGAGTGTGTGTGTGTGTGTGTGTGTGTGTGT